GTTCAAGTATTGCATTTACCCGTTCTATTTGTCCGTCCGGTTGTGGGTGAAATATAGTGCTCAGCCAATTTTGTATTCCCATTTCTCTAGTTACTTTCTTCCACAATCCTGATGTCAATAATGTTCCTCGATGAGTAACAATATCCTTCGCGAGGCCCTGTAGTCGAAAGACCTGTCAGAAGAATCTTTTTATGAAATCACTCTTGTCCATATCCTTTCTGATGGGAATAAAATGACTCATTGTGGTCAAGCGATAGACCACGGCCAGGCTGCTATCGTAACCTTTTGATGGAGGTAGGTCAGTGATGAAATCTATGGTGATGGCTTCGTGGGGCGGTTCGGGAACTTCATTCGATTTCAGTAATCTGTAAGGTACGTGTTAAACCACTTTTGTCTTTTGGCATATATCGCAACCATTGACATGTCTTTTGACATCGTGGTAGAGTCCTGGCCAATGGAATGACCTCGTGATGAATTCTGTGGTTTTAGACGTTTCTCCGTGTTATGCCGTTGAGATATCGTAGTATTATCCTATGATGCTCGTCCTTATCTTTTCTTCCTCCAGAATTCAATGTTTTTTATCATACCATATGTTTCCTTCTTCCCATTGGTATAATCCTAGGACAATTCCACTCCTCTCCTTCTTCCCTTCGTTCAGTGCTTCCCTTATTGTCTGAATTGTCTTGTTTTCTTGGTTTACTTTCATGCTTCCTTGTTCCTCCTCCTCAGAGGTGAACTCGATAACTTCCATTGCCTGGAAATAGGGTTTTGGTAAAAGTATTTGTGTCTTTTGTTTGAACCGCTAGTCCTCTTTGGCTTGTAGTTTGTCACTTGCGATTCTTGTGAGAGCATCTGGCTTCCCGCTCACTTTGCCTGGTGGGTATTCGATCTTGAAGTTCTATTTGCTAAGATGTTCCATCCATCTTATTTGGTGGTCGTTTAATTCCTTGGTAGTCATGAACTGTACCAGATTCATGTGGGCTGTGAGAACATGGACCAGATGGTAATTGTTTAGGATGTATCTCCTCCATTCCTTTAATGCCTGAACTATTGCAAATAGTTCTTTGTTAGCCGTATGATAGTTGCATTCTGCTGGAGTCATTGTCTTGGATCTGTAAGACACTGGCCTCCATTTTCCGTCTTCACATTGTTGTGATAGTATGCCTAAGCATACATACTTTGAGGGGTATCTTTGGATTATGGTCTTTCGGTTTGGGTCGAAGTGTACCAGGATTGGTGCTGATGTCAGATGGGTGCCAATATCATCGTATGCTTTTTGTTCTATTTCTCCCCATTCCTATTTCTTTTCTTTCTTGGTTAGGTTATAGAGTAGTTTCGCAAGCCTGCTGAAGCCTTCTATGAACCTTCGATAAAAGTTGCAGAATCCCATGAAGCATTGAACATCCAGCCTGTTGTTTGGTTTAGCCCAGTCTCATGTTGCTACCATATTGACCAGGCTGACCTTGACTCCACTTTGATTGATGATGAATTTGAGGTATTCAGTTTCTTCCTTATGGAATTCGCATTTCGTTGGATTGATCTTCATTCCAGATCCTTGTATCGCGTTCATGATGTTGCTGACATTCTTCTAGTATTGTTGCATATTTTTCGAGTATATGAGCACGTCGTCAAGGTATACAATACAACATATATCGAGGTACTTATTAAGTACCCTGTTGATCTATCTTTGGAATGAAGCCGGTACATTGGTTAACCGAAAAGGCATAACCAAGTATTCGAATATTCAAGATCTTAAGGAGAATGATGTCTTCCATTGGTCTCCTGCTTGATTCGTATGTTGTAGTACGTATCCTTGATGTCGAGTTTGATGAAGTATTTTGCTTACTGTAATCTGTCCTGTGCTTCTCCAATTAAAGGTAGTGGATATCGATCCTTCTTGATAACTGAATTGAGGGCTCTGTAGTTGACACCGAGTGTCATCTTTCAGTCCTTCTTTTTGACAAATAGTATTGAAGACCCTCCTGATGTGAAGGAGTCTCGGATCCATCTCTGCATTAGGTTTTGTTCGATGTACTTTCTGAGTTCTTCGAGTTCTGCCTTTCCTAGTGCATATAACTTCTTGTATGTCATTTCCTTTACTTTTCCCATCTTCTCTTCCTTGTCCAGTTGAATCTTGTAGTCAATTCCTCACCATCTGGATGGTAGCCCCATGGCTTCCTCTTCCTGGAACATATTCGTGAATTGATGGTATTCTTTTAGAATCAATTCTTTCCATTCCTTTTTACTTGAATAATTCTTATCTTGGATTGGTAGCTCGGTGCTAATGTTGACTTTTGCTGGGACCGCTTTTTCATCTTTGTATATCTATTTGAGAACTCCTGTGGTATTTCCTCTTCGATAGTAACTTTGGAAGTGTTATGCTGTGATCTCTTTGGCCTCAATTCTTTTTGTTATGTTGGGCTGGATTTGGTCTGTGCTTCCAAACCCCTTCTCTCCTCTCATAGTTCTTTCCAGTTGATCTATTTTGTGTACATCTTTGTTATTGATTTTTTCGATAATCAGCTGCGCGATTCGATCGCCTTTCTGGACCTTGTAGTTCTCTTGAGTCCGGTTGGCCCAGACCATCTTAATTTCACCTGTATAGTCGGAATTGATTATTCCCACCATAGTTCTTAGTCCATGTTTGACTGCTAGGCCACTGCGGGGTGCTATCGGTCCATAGGTGTCGTCTGGTAATCCAATTTATATTCCTGTTGCTATCATTGCCTGCCCATTGGCAGGTATCTTGGTTCTCTCGTTGGCATACAGGTTGTGTCCTGCTGCCACTTTGGAACCCTTGGTAGTCACTTTTGCCTCTTGGTCCAGTCTTCGTATCCAAACTCTTTTGTCTTACCGCATCTTGGCAAACCTTGCATACAAAGTTTTATCTTCCGCTTCCTGCATTGGTGTCGAGTAGACTACAGGGGAACTGTTGAGACATTGTATTGTACATAGTTTGCTTATCAAGGTCATCTTTTTCTCGTTCCAATCAATCGTCAGTTTATGTCTTCGTAACCATGGCCTCCCTAGGACTATCTCCTCGTTTTTGAGGTCTGTTACCTGGAAGGTAACTGTTTCCCTATGGCGGCCAATATCTATAGGTACTTTCACTATATGGGTTATAGGACCCATTGCACTAGGCCTTCCATCCGCTAAGTAGACCTGTCTTTCTTACTTCGCTTTCTTAGTATGGAGGCTATATTTGTTACAGATTTTCTGGTCAATGAAATCTTCTGTAGACCCTGAGTTGAGCATTACATATATTGTCGTTTCTTGATTTTCCTCGTTGTATATCTTGGTCTTGATCATTACATTATCACCTTCTCCTTCTTCTCGTTGTGTCTGTAGTGCTGTATAGTAGTTTGCTAACTTGATGGGTTTTCCAGGTCCGGATCTTGGGTCTCCCAGACTACCATTTACTAGGGACCCTCATTTCTTTCCACCGATAAGTCCGCAGCAATCTTCTCGAGGATGTTGCTTTTCTTCTGCAAATGGAATCGATTGTTTCCAGCTGCCTTCGTCCCTTGGTACCCATTGTTTGGTTGGCTTCCGCATTCCTTTATTTGATTTCCTGCTTTTTCAAATCTTAAGCAAAGTTTCCCATTCTTCCTTCTGGCATATTCTTTCTTTGATAGGTTTAGAGCCAGTCCCGCTCTAAATTTGTCGATATCTGTGGGTTCACTGGGTAGTAATACTCTGCTTTCGCTCTGAGCTGCTTGTGGTCTGAAAGTTCCATCCACCTTCATGGATGATTTGACCACTCAGTGTGCTATGGTATTTTCCAAATTGTTTTGGACCACGTTCAATTTGCTTTCCTTATCAATCGCCGATCTTGTGATCCGTTCTGTTGTTGTGTAATGCAGGTCGGAAATTTCCCATGCTGCTTACAGTCACTCACTGCAATTCCTTAGTAGGTTGATGTAGAGGGTGGCATCGTCAAATTCTGCCTCATATTCCAATAGTCGACATTCATTCCTGTATGCTGAAAATATCTGTTTCCCTTGTTGGAGTTTTTCTAATTTCCGTTTCGCTGTCTCTTTGGCGTTGTGTTCGCCGAACTGGTCAAAAAGGGTTGCCTTGAATTCCGCATACGTGACCCATTCGCTTTGTTTTTGAGACTACCTTCACAGCGTCAATCTAGAGCATCTCTTAGCATAACTCTGGTCAGCCTCAAGAGATGTGAATTTCGCTCCCAACTATGTCCATAAACACAAGAAATCAAAGTCATAGTAGCAACTCCAGCGAGCCGGAAAAGGTTTCTTGTAGGAACATGCATCTTGTCTTGTTTTTTTGTGAGTAAAGGACGATGGTAATAATAAAGCATAAGATGAGGAAACTCGAAGTCTCAAGCAGAAAAAGCCCTCAAAAAAAGACCCCGAAAAAAAATACAATTTCCAAGAGCTCGACTCAGGAAGCATAGGGAGAAGACAGAGGAGTATGAATGCAGATGGTGGGGGTTGTAATGCTAATATATACCATTACACCGACTCTCTAAATTCGGGACCATTAGCAGCTCCAGTGTTTTTACTGAGGAGTTCACTCACACCTCCGCGGTTGACTTGGGGATCATTCGCACCGCCGCTTCTTCATCTACTTATAGATCATTCACTACTCCTTCGTTTAAACCGAAGTGTTCTTCCATATCTATTCGCTTCATTAGCACTCATTAATGAGGTTTAGAGGTAATAAACCCCCGGACTGGAATAATAGCACCACCCAGGTGCGTGTTTTTAAAAAAGAATTGCAGTACGGTACCCCAGCCTGACAAAAAAATTTCTCCCGATAGTAATTGAAACATCCACACATTCTCCCGCGAGCGAATGACAAAGGAGAAGAAATCAACATGCTCAAAGCTCCATCCCACTCCCCACCGGGAAATCCTCTGGTGACACTCCCCTCCTCTCCGCTTCACTCTGCCTTTTAACATAGGCTTGGTTCTCCACCGTCCACGGCACCGCCGGAATATACAGCACAGAGCTGTCACCCGCGCTCCGATGTACCCGATCTACAGCGTGAATGGTATCACAGTGCCAGAAATCGTAGTCGCCCGGTGAGACGCGTGGAACGTGCGTCATGGAGTCGGCGAGGCAAAGGTGTGGGTGTGTTGTGTTGCTGTATTCCTGGCACGCACCTTGGACTGAGTTTGGGAAGCGAGGGGTTGTACTGAGGGTCGGGGGGTTGGAGAGGGTAAAGAAGGGGCGCAGGATTGTGTATGCTGTTGTGTGTTTTAGCAGTGGGTTTACCAGGAGGGTGCCCTCGCCGGGGTATGTGGTTGATAGGGAGAGCTGAACTCGTTAGCAGATTTGTTTTATGGGAGAGGGGGGATGTCGGGGAGCCCACCCAGCCCTGCCAACTCCTCCAGACTCCGCAACTCCCAGCTCCATCGTACATATCCATCTTCGCATGAACCCGGTGTTCCGCGTTATACGGGTCGTACTCCTCCCATTGCCCCGTCCAGATCTTCTCGTAGCAGCGAGAATACTCTGGATCTTCCCAGCGCTCCAGGCTACCTCCGTCTATATGCGCCTCGAGAGCAAAGCCTGCATCACCAGGCTTGCGGATACGAAAGCGGTCGGCGTAGGGCAGAGACACGGAGGTGTCCACTACCGATGACGGGAGAGAGGAGTGCCAGAGAGAGTTTACGAAACGCTGAGAGGCTACAAGAGGTGAATGGGCCCTGGCTGCGCGCTGCGCCAGGGACCAGTATAGTTCATAGACTGCCGGCGAGTCGGCGGGAAAGGCTGCGTTTATTAGCTTTGGGTAGTAAATGAAGTTACAGAGGGGAGGAACCTTTAGTCCATTGGTAGCGTTTGATGTGATCCTTCAATGACTTCTTCATTGCCAAAGCCTCTTCATCTGGGATGACATTTCTAACAACAACCACACCTCGTTTCTTAATCTCTGCTATTTCCTCTTTGGAAAGGCAAGCGAGGTCTTTGTACTGGACTTGTGGGATAATCTATCAGTTCGTCAACATCAACTATCCCACTTCATTAGAAAGAAAAATAGACATACATCAATCCCATATCTCTTCACTACAGCAATCGCCTTCTCAAGATCAAGCAGTAACCTCTCCCAGGGCTCTGCTAGGATCCTTCGTCGCCCAGATGTAAACCGGCTTTTAAGTTTAGCATACCTATTCGATAACGGCGGCGGCGGGATCCCCGAGAGCGAACGGAATACTGAAGAGATATCTCCACCGACTTTACTCTGTGTCTTGGTAGCAATCAAACGGGTTGCCGTGGTAGGAGCAATCAAGCGGGTTGCAATAGCACAAGTCCTCCGCATGTACGGAGTGAAAATAGAGGTAGTAGCAGGAGGAGAAGTAATAAAGAGGTATGATATAAATAGGACCCCAGGGCACAGTATGATACGGTAGGGGAAGCACCCCACAACCCTTATATGGGACTGGCTTGGCGGTGCGCCTCAGGGAAATTCGCAATACAAAACACCGCTATTTGTCGATTTATTGTCGATTTATTATACATGTAAAGTAGGTAAGGTGTATCAAAAATCAGTGTGAAAGTGGGTATGCTTTGACCAAAAAACAACAAAGTCCATTTAAACCATCTTCTAAAAGCAAAAAACTATCCATAAGGTTGTTTTATTACTAAATTAGGTACGTGGCACAGAAGTGGTTCTTCTCTCATTGCGCTTTACTCGTATGCCAAACCAGCCCAATTTCTCGAGATATACGGGTACCGGTACTTGTGCCACTACTAGTACAGTACCGTACAAGTGCCATGGGTAAAGTTTTCCCACACACCAAAGTGGCTTATCCGCAAAATATCCTTGAAAATTGGTGGGGTCACAAAGTAGTGTGTGCGAAAACATACCCCCTGGCACTTGTACAGTAAGAGAATATTATTTTATATTTTGTATATTTTGTGAAGGAAAAAAGTCTGTAGAACTCTGGCGTGGTGGCTGGAGCAAACGCTGCCCGCTGAGTGGGGGAGGAGACTTTAAAGCCAACCAGAGAAGTTCTACTCGTGTCTCCGCGCCAAGAATTGGCACTCTTTTTGGAATAGTCGCTGTGAACCCATAAAAAGTATAGTGTTAGAGCTGCTTGGAGGGAGCCAGAGGTTCCAAACAACAGTGGTATTCAGTAAGAATGACGAACAGCACCAATGTCCAGTGACAATAGACCCAGAATGCAGGTAGAGGAACAATCCTACACCTGATAGCAATACCACCAGATGTTTTATGAAGTACCCTATACGGTATACAGTTTTTTCTTGCAAGGTATATACCCAGTATCCGGACTACAGTATTAACAAGTTAATGTAAAAAGCAGTATGACAAAGGGAAGAAGCTATACAATTGGTTTACGGGGAGCCATCATTGCTCTCCATCAGTGTGTTGGGATGTCATTTGATCAAATAGGATTGATATTGGATATGCCTCGAGAAACAGCACGCATAACATATAAGCGGATAGCTGTAAGTTACCCAGCATGAGTTTTTAATGAAGAGTATATTTTGAAGGCTAAAAGTCCAATCTGTTGGAGCATGCACAGAGTCTAGAAATTAAACACTTACTTGGTACTGTAAATCAAGGTGGCAAGAAGCAGGAGGAACCTGCCATACAAAAGAAGTACCCTCCTGGGAGTGAGGTTTTTCAAAGACTAAAGGATCTTGCTACACAAGACGAAGAGCAACGCCTTGTAATAATCCCCATTCTGATAGTTAGTTCTTCGCAATGGGGAACGATACTTCTCTTCTTGTTGTTCTCTTCGTTTTATGATACTACTAGGCCTCTGCCTACTTTACCGATAGTACAAGACCTGTGTCTTCTGTCAGGAAAGCCTATCGTAAGCTTTCACTAACTCTTCTTCTTAAAGAATTTTTTCAGCATATCGATAATAGTAGTGATAAAGATAGAGGGCATAAAGATGTTATATATTCGTTAAAGTAATAAGTTGGAAAAGTACATAGAACAAAGCGTGAAGAACCTATGCTCCTAGGCCATACCAGCCTCCTTATATAGTGTTCTTTCCACCTGTAGTCATGTGATCCAAAGTGGTGACATGCACAAAACCAAATCATAATAAACTAATCATGTGACTGAAGCGGTCACATGTCCAAAACCCATGACCTTGTAGCAAGATCATGTGCAAAAACTCATAAACCAATCATAATACAATAAATAAATCATATGACTCCAAGTGATCACATGCATGAAACCCATGACCTCGTAATGAGGTCGTGTGCGAAACATAAATCATATGCAGAAGGTATACCCGCAAGGCATACTTTCAAGGCATACTCGCCAAGTGCACATCCCATGACTCATAATGGAGTCTTGTACGAAACGTAATAAATTATAACCTAATAAGTCATATGACCCAAATGCATCATATGCGTGAAACAATAACATACCTATTACTCATAATTATAAGTCACATGAAAACCTGTTCCTTGCCAAGCCACATTCGTGACATTAGCTCTGTCTCCTGAAGGCTAAATCTCATCAGCTTTTTCTCCCAGTTTCATTAGCTCTCGTCTAGCTGACCTCATGGTCCTCCTCAGCTTGTGAAACATTTCGTCTGCCATCCTCCATCTAACCATTACTGATTCTAGGGTCCGATTTTTCATCTCGATTGTGTGCTGCTGATTATTGTTCAGCTGTCTTAGCTCCGCCATTGTTTTGTCATTTACCGAAATTGTTGCCTCAGCCCGGTCACGTTGTTTCCAGAGTCCTCGCATCTGCCTATATTGGCGCTTAATGTCTAGTTCCACATCTGCAGACTAGCTTTGGGCCCCTCCCTCCCTGGGCCATATCCTCATGGCCCAAGCCTTTTTTGTATCTTCTCCCTCCAACTCTCACCTACTTCGGTCCATCTGTGGGTAATCTTGCGCAGAGATTTTCTATATCCAGTGCATTCTGCATCTATTTCTGAAGTATTGTTGCCAATACTTCAGGACGTAGTTCAGGCATGGACTACACTTCTTATGTTCTCTCAGGAACTATCCTGTGCCTTCCTTGTCACCAAAATGTATTTGGCATCGGTCCACATAGCATACTGTCTATGACATAATGTTATGCTGTGCTTGCACTTCACTCACTTTGAGTTCTTTGTTAGTTGGTTGCATAAATAAGTATTCGGTGCTCATCAGTATGATATGGTGGAGACTATCACCCGAGCCGTTTTATATTTGCAATTGCGCGGTAGGTTTTCCCTCGCATTTGTATTGGTTGAACGTGATCATCACCTGTGTCAAGCTTGCCTGTCTATCATTGGGGGAAGGTTAAGATGGCATCTTGTGCGTTTTGAAGTTTTATGCATAACAACAAGTTTTAAGGTGTTCAGGCGAGTAACTGGTCTACTTGGCTTGGTATTGCAGGTGACCGTGCAAGAAGCCAGAATTGACTATTTCGTCGAGTTTATATTCTGGCTCTCAGTCAAGTTCGATCACAGGAGGAGGAATAATTGTTTGTAAGGGAAACTTGTTATCATTGTGTAATCTGAGGTATGCAATGTGGCATGTGTTGCGTATTCACATTGAGGGGGGAAGGTCATGCTTATAAGCTCGGTTTCCCACTCATTCCAATATTCTGAATAGTCCAATTTACTGGTAGTCCAATTAATTTGATGGCGGAGCTGTATGAATATTGAGTAGTAGAAACCATATCATATCTCCTGGGTGTATATTTGGATCAGGCCTTTGGTGCTTATCCTATTGTTCTATTTGCCGTTATTGTGGTGGACACATTTTGTATCATAATACCTTATGTAGTTTTCCCATATCCAATGTATCTGGTATTATGCTGTTAATTGTATAATATGTAGCCTGTCTTTGTTCATATTGTCTGTAGTTCGCAAAGAAGGATATCATGCCTATTATTTCTTGTTTTCCATTATTGTATGCAATCTCGGCTATAAATAACAGCTTAGACCAATCCTCTTATTCATAGTTGATATAGGCCCATAGAGATTGTTCAAGTAGTTGATTTACCAGTTCCATTTGTCCATCCGTTTGTGGGTGAAACCCTGTGCTCAGCTGATTTTATATTCCCATCACTCCAATTACTCTTTTCCACAACCCTGATGTGAATAATGTTCCTTGATTCGTAATCATATACTTCGGAAGACACTGTAGTTGAAGGATCTCTCAGAAGAATGTTTGTATGAAATCCCGGGTGTCTATATTCTTAATAGTGGCAATAAAATGACTCATTTTGGTCAGGCAATGCACCACGACCATGATGCTATTGCAACCTTCCAATGGAAGTAGGTTTGTGATGAGATGTATGGTTATTGTTTTCCAGGGTCATTCGGGCACTTCATTCGTTTTCAGTAATCCGTCAGATAGATGTTTAACCGTTGTTCTCCTTTAGTATGTGTCGCAACCTTGGACATATCTTTTGACATCTTCAGAGAGTCCTGGCCAATAAAATAACCTCGTAATGAATTCTGTGTTTTTAGCTGTCCCTCCGTGTCCTGCTATTGAGATATCGTGGTGTCATCGTATGATGCTCATCCGTATCTTTTCTTGCTCTAGAATTCACTATTTTCCATCGTACAATTTGTTTTCTTCTTCCCATTGGTATAATCCTAGGGCAATTCCATTCATCTCCTTCTTCCCTTCCTTCAGTGTTTCCCTTATTGTCTGAATTGTCCAGTCTTCTTGGTTTACTTGCATGATTCCTTGTTCCTTCTCAGAGGTGAACTTGATAACTTCCATTGCCTGGAAGTAGACTTTTGGTAAAAGTGTTAGTGTCTTTTGTTTAATCCACTGGTCCTCTTTTGTTTATAGTTTGTTGCTTGCGATTCTTATAACAGCATCTGGCTTCCCACTCTCTTGTTCTAGTCTCTATTCAATCTTGAAGTTGTATTTGCTGAGTTGTTCCATCCCTCTTATTTGGCGGTCATTCAATTCCTTCATGGTCATGAAGGGCACCAGATTCTTATAATCTCTGAGAACCAGAACTGGATGGTCATTGTTCAGGACGTATCTCCTCCACTCTCTTAATGCCTAAACTATTACAAATAGAGCTTCGTTAGCAACATTATAGTTGCATTCTGCTGGAGTCATTGTCTTGGATCAGTAAGACACTGGCCTCCAGTTTTCGTCTTGGCATTGTTCTGATTGTATGCCTGAGCAAACATACTTCCAGGGATCTGTTTCGCTTATCGCTTTTTGGTTAGGGGCAAAATGGAACAGAATTTGTACTGATGTCAGATGGGTCCTGATATCATTGTATGCTTTTTGTTCCGTTTTTCCCCATTCCCATTTCTTGTCTTTCTTGGTTATGTTCTAAAGTGATTTTGCTAGCCTGCCAAAGCC